ATGCTAACATGGTCTCAATGAGAATGTTAACATGCTGATGCTAAGCAGGGTTAGCGTTTACCATCTTAGTTTAATTAGCACCAAATTCAAAGTAATGATGTACTGATGGTGAAAATGAAAAAGAAGAAACAAAAGGTATAGATTTCATTACATACTATATGCATTTTGGTAGACATTATGAATGCTTTGCATAACTGTAACTAATTAAAAAAAGTGTCCTTGCAACACTGGGACTTTGGGAGCTTGTATTGTCTGTAAAAATAACGTCGCCCTTTTGTGCCTGAAATACTCACCTGACACTTGAGGAACACCTTGGAAACCATGCTCACAGCAGCCAATGGGGAGAAAGAGCAAACACTATACATGATTGCTTTTTCCTCTTAACAAATGGCAGTCCAACTACAGGTAGCATGAAAAACCCCAATACATCAAAAAATGCTTTGTGTTTTCTGCATCACACACATGAAAGTAACTCATCTCTGGATTGGTGTTAATAAACTGCTGTCATCTGAAATAAGTGTCATCCAGGTGCCTAAACATAGAAACATGTGCTGTTAAAACTCAAAGTGTGAAACATTATTAGCATGCTTAACACCTTCTTACTTGCATCCCTGTGGTGTTATAATTATACAGTTTCAATGAAAGACTTATTTATGAATGGTAACCAACAGAGGAATAGAGATATAGGCCACGTGCTGTAATTCCTCACGCACGTGATTACAATAAGTCATATTAGCTGCTGCCATGCACACTGTGGCGACTTAATCAGATTTAGAGTCAAACTCTAAACTGTGCTTTATCACAAAAAAATGAGAATCATCTGTGCTAATTACTAGGAATAATTTGAATTTAAAAGAATAGTTCAGCATTTCAGGAAATACACATTTGCTTCCTTTCTGGGGGTTATATGAGAACAGTTTGACTCTCATTAATTAGCCTACAGAGCAGTCTGTTAGCCTAGCTTAGCATAAAGACTGGAGGCTGGGGGTAACGGCTATGGCTCTCTCAAAATTTCAAAAATCCCTCTTAACACCTCTAAGCTTACTTCCGTTTATTCTGATTGGTTCATCGGTAGAGTTAATAATTGTGTTAACAAACTACAACATAATAAACTCAAAACTTGATTTTAAATTCTAGTAGAGATCCCAAACATACCAAATATGTCAGACTAAATTTTAGGGAAATGTACTGTAAAAGGGGTCAAAGGGAGAAAGCTTTAGCTTATAATATGAGGTTAACACCAGTGCACATACTAACAACAGTCCCAACCATCCACATCAGTGCTACAATTTGAATGAGCACTACTTACTGCAAAGTTGAGACCTTTTATGTGAGAGTGTAGTTTATAATAATAATATATCCCATTTTTCTTTTCATTTCTACACATCTGTGTCACATTCAAATAAATCACACAGACAGCATTGATTTACTTTTTCATGCCCTTGCATCGGGTTTCTTATTTGTGTTAAAGTATCGTACATTATTTGACCTAGACATAAGAGCATATATGCGAATCCTGGCTGCATTTATCAAAGGTCTGTCGAAGATTTGAATAGCTCAAACACATTGACAATTTCCACAAGAAAATTGCTGCCATTTCAGTCACCCACAGAGATTTCCTATTGGAGATAGAAAGAAATTAAATCACACCCGCATCAGAGCAACAAAAGTGCCTTCATGATGGAGCCAACATATCTTGTGCATCCCTGATAGTAAGTGCTGTCTGACAATCAAAAAAGATGAGTCTTGGCATATTTACTGTGGAAAAAAAAAACCTTTTTAATGTCATGCGAAGCACAACACACAATTTTAAAAATTTAAACCTCAAAGACAGCCCTCTGGACCATTGTCACTTTTATGATTTATTCTTTGGGCTATTTATGTATTCGGCATCAGGTTGCAAGTTGCCTGCTGATAAATTGATGTTGCTGTATAGGTGGAAGGAAACAACTGCAGCATCCAATCAGCTTTGCAATGAGTGTTTGAATGGTGTTTTTAATCTTTAATGTATTCAGTGACAGTACTTTTGCTTTCCATAATCAATGGTCATACAGTCTGTGTTGTTGTTTATATTTTCATTTAGCTTATATTCATAGAGCCAGTGAGTCTTTATTGCTGCATTTCTTACTTATTCATATTCATACAAATGCGGTTGTTTGAAAAGCAAAATAGATGGATTATATATTTTCCAAGCCATGTACAATATACAATAAACAGATAAGAAAGAAGTAGGCATTTTGAGCTATGGTGGCACACATCCATTTTTCACAGCCACTCATGTCATGCTTCCCTGCCACATTGCACCGCACAGCAGGAGGTGGTATCGAGTCAGAGCAATAGTCATTTGGTCATTTTTTTTGCCAGTTTTGGTGTCAGTCTCACCGTATTATATCATGACTAAACTATTTGTGCCAGCTGCAAGTCCAGTCCTAATTGAGTCCATACTTTTCCAAACAGCGCTGTGAGGAGATGGATGTTACAACCACATTTGTGACAAATAACACATTCATATTAGGCAGGAGGACTATGTTTCTGGCTGCCAGTAAGATGGAGGGGATGTCAAAGCCAGGACTGTGTGAGACTGATGTGCCGGTGCAGTCCATCAATTCACACGGCTCCTTCCTCACTGCCATCATCATCAGCAGCTTGTGCTTCTACTGGCACAAGCAGGAATATTTGTCACAGAGCCAGTACAGATTCAGGTTGAGAGAAGCTCAAAATGTGTACAGTACCTTATTGCTACTAACATTTGCCAATTTTATAGTGAAATAGGAAGCTAAAACCTGTCAAGTTTACCACCACAGCCAGTATTAACATGCAAATGTCTCCATGGAATCGCAACCGAAAAATTCGTTTTAATAAAAAAAGGCACCAGATACACATTATTACACTCACAGGCACACACGCAACAAGATGACTTGGTCTCCAGTTATGTTTACCATACAGCACCCAATTTAGCCCACAGGGCATCCTTATATGGGGCAGCTGGAGTGCTATAGGGCTGCTAACAGGAACGTTTTAAAATAACCAAAGAACTGGTGTTTGTCTTGACTTCCCTGTAATTCAAAATAACAAAAGAATGTGGAGTTGGTTATAATGAACATATGGAGGATGTGTACAGTGGGTCTGACCAGGTACAGCCTGAACAAAGGGAGTGTTATGACCTGTTACATGTAAAAATGAACACACCATGCCCTGCATCATCATCCTATAGGAAGACATCACATGGAGTAAAGTCTGCATGTTTAGAGTTTGGAGAGAAGGCATTACATAAACTAGGTAGGATGTGGCCAAATGAGATTGTTTGCAGTTGGCACTGACCAGTGGTTTGGATGGGGGAAGCCAACAAATTTGATGTAAAAGTACATCAGATTTGCTTTTATGTTTTTTTCACAGCTTTATGTTCTTTAAAACTGATTGCTTTTGCTGTGTTTTTGGAGAAGCAGTCATTCATATATTCACATATACAGTGTGTTTTTTAGATGCAAGACCCACAGACATTGGGCAATAAAAGTGAGGAAGATTACTTAATCCTATTCTCCTTTTCAGGTACAGAAGACACCATACTGGGTCTTTTAGGAATTGATGATTAGGTTACTGTTTTGTTTCCAAATTTCTCTGATATTGTAATATTTCTGGCGTAAAGGGTGTCCCCATAGGAAGGTCCCCTTGAGCCAGATTTAGGAATCAAACTGTTGATGCTCATGGAAAACATCAAGCTAGTGAATGCCTTAATCACACTAACCCGTTTATAATTTTTTTTTTAAAGCTGTGTTTTTATGTTTTGCCTCGTCTGCAAGATTATCAAGTGTGCACAATATGTCCATTTGTATGGATCGACTCACCGAGCAGCGAACTTATGAGGATGAAAACCTGAATGGTGGTGGTGAAGTCTCGGTAGGCTTGCTCTCGGAGGAGGCGCTGCTGCTCTTCCAGCCCGGTCTCCTCGGCAGGTGAGCCGCTGTCCCACCGGGTCGGCGGGCTCGACGCGTTCAGGAGATCCAGCCTGAGGTGGGCTGCTGTGAAATTGGCTGCACCGTCCCCGACCGTTGCACCCCGGCTCCCACTATCCATGTCGGCTCACCCCGCGATCCTGATGGGTTTTAAATATGTTTTAAAGACGGCTGGCGGGATGTCAACAGCCAGCACTGAAGAGGCATTTCTTGTGGGGATGATGCCTTGCAAAAAAAAAAAAAAAGGAGGAAAAAAATCTACACAATTGTGTGCAGGAGAGATGTCAGTGAAGATGTAAGACAGCAATGCGAGCAGCTGCCAGCAAAGAGATGATTTTCTGTCAGTGGATATGTTAAATTAGGAAAAAACATGGTGTAATAATCATACATCAGAGCACAGGGAAATGACCAGCCTAGGCTGCATGCCCCATCATTTCCCAATGCGGATGCATGGAAGAAATCAGTCTAACAATCCGTGCGCAGTGAGGCTGGATGGATGCTACTCTCTGACACCCAGCGCACCTAAAACCACACCGGGTTGCGAAGTGTCCATTCTGGGAATGAAGCTTGCAGCACCGAGAACACACTACCATCACATTTCGCCGTCCGGAAAAAAATATTGTGTCTGTCGGGCTGTTACTCCTGCTGCCGCTGCCAATCGCACTGTCAGAGGCTGTTTATTGGTAGACTGACTGGTGTGGGGAGCCTGCAACTGAATATTTCACAGCGTGAGGTGCAAGACTGGAGAGGAGAGCCCCTCCTCTTCTTATAGCACCAAGAAACTCCACTGAATCTTATGAATGGCAAGCAGGGGAGGAGGGAAGGGTGGGAAAATTAGGCTCATCAGTAATAAAGATGTTTCAGTTATAGGTCATCACCCAAACACACAAAACCTGCTAAATACTTTCAGGGAATATCCAGAGAGCCTGTTGAACTATTTACTTAATTGTATTATAATGAGGCACACTATCAAATGGTGGTTTTCAGACTACATGAGGTTTGCCCTCAACAGTCCTGTGGTTGTCTTGCTCAGTCTGTCCTCTCACAGGAGCTTGTGACATTCCTCTTCGGTTTGCTGAAAATACCAGAATAGGAGAGGACATATAGTAACTCAGTAAACCATCATTTACTTGGTTTTAATCATTAATTAATGTGAGTTTATTGCAGTCTCCTTTGTGTAAGCCAGTGTGGATGCACTGGGGACATGTTTGTATGGACCCATTGTACAGTAGACAGCTCTGGATCAGTGTGCACAGCAGTAAGTATGAAAGAAGTACTACTTTAAACATTTCATAGAAACACTGTACAATAAATCAATCTGGAACAGGACTGGAATTAGTAAAAAAAAAAAAAAATGAAGCGAGAGATTCAGATAGACTTTATTGATCCCACACTGGGGAAATTCACAAAAGTAATTCTTACTGTAGTGCTAATGCATATTTCAGGCATTCACATTTGTTAAATCAGCACAGTATGCCTGACATTTTAATAGGCTAAGAGGACTGACTCAGCATATTAAAAGTATTTTCCTGCATCGTGTGAGTTAGAAAGATTTCCTCATAAAGATGGATGTGGTGGAAGAGATACAATCGTCTTTGTCTTCTACTTCAGAGTCCTTACTTTGATGCAGGCTACATTGTTAATGAAATCCCTAAGAGAAACACTTACATCATCAAAGTGAATTCACTTCCCATCCACTGCCTTTCATGTAAAATTCCAAGGTTTTGAACTTTAACATGGGAATAAAACCGGTGGGATTAATGTTATTTAAAATAAAATATAAGCTTTTGTTTCACAATCTTTCATCATGAAAGTTCTCCTCCCAGTCGGCTTCACATTATGTTGTATGGGACAAAACACATCTCATATTTATGTGTAAGGAACATCAAAGAGAATTGTAGGGAGGCTGAGCTGCCTCTAGATGCCAACATTTGCACAAATAGTAGTTATTCTGGGAGACCGCTGGACTGTTTATGTATTACAATGACACTGATTGCCGTAAGAGCAGGCGCGATTATTACAGGCTGAAACTATTGGTATCTACTTTTATTATTAACAATATTTCTGATATCTATTTATATCCTATGGCAAAAATATTTGCACAATCACGTGTACAACAATCGCATTATTGTTCAATGCAGTTAACTTCCCTCCACTGTTATGCTGAACACGAGTTAACTCATTTATTGGTTTTTAATTCCAGTCTTCTTGGAATGATCTATTTGTACAGCATTATTTTGAAAAACGGTAACACAGCATGATAATATCACACATCAAAGTCAGTCAAATCTAATATTGAATTATTACGCAGCCCTTTTCCAACCACAAATAATTAAACTAATCACAATTACTAGGAATTCAGAATAATACTGCATGTGACAGAGACAAGGAGTGTTAAACATACAGAGCTCAAGTTATCCCAGATTATCTGTGATTGATTCCAACCAAGCACACATTATGTTACTCATTCTGAGTAACCCCTTACAGATATATCAGTCGATATCGGCCTCTCACTAAAATATCATTATCGTATCGGTATCGGCATATATATAATCCAATATGCTGTTTTTTTCCCAGTGTATTATACAAAGGATTGTGGTTTTTACAGTACTGATTTTTAGCTTTTTTATTTTATTTTTTTAATTCTTTTTGTTGACAATATAGCCTATATATTGAATTATTTTAACATGTTAAATAATATTTAGCCTAAATATTCTTTCATAAAGTTATCAGTTAAAGAAAGCAGCCTTCTGAGTACCTTCGCATAGACATAACAGGCAATAGCTGAATTTTCACCCTCGAAAATAGATTACCGTATTGGCCTCAAAAAAGCCATATCAGTCGGGCTATAATTCCGAGACATTTTAGTTTGGAACCTGCGATATTCAGGTGGTTCACAGCAGAAATATTTGTCATGTCATTGTAGGAAAAGCCCAGCTGTAATTAATAACAGTAATGACTCACTCACTCACTCACTCACTCCCTCCCTCCCTCGCCCCAGTGGAAAACCTAAGGAGCCGCCCCATGTACTAAATCCGCTTGAACAATTTTTGTCATTTTTTCTTAAAAAAAAAAGTATAATTTCCACATTAAAAACCTTAAAAAGGCATCTACTCCTAAATTACAGAATCTATGAATATGCAAATTGTGTTTATTTCTAAAAACTTTGTGCTCGACACAAGATGTCTCCTAATTAACTAAACAACCGTAGGAACAAGAAGAGTGGAGGAAGACTAACGGTTTAAGCTCAACTTGTGTTGACGAGTAAAAATATCTGCTGTGAGGAAGAATTAAATCTGCATAAATGTTTTGTGACCAGGGTGGGAAAATAACTTTTTGATAGTAAATCATTATTTTCTGTTTATCTATAAGCCACTTTCATATTTTACCAGCATTTGGCTGGTGCTTATTTCCCACCTTGTGTGTAACCCACGATACAAATGTAAGCTTGTGGAAAAGGAAAAAATAAAAACACCAGTTGGACTGAAGGCATGCTTCTAAATGAGGTCTAGAGAGTAATTAAACCAAAGCCTCAACATAGGAATACTCATACAGTGTCATTTAATAACCCTTTAACAATTTCATTCATTAGAAATTGAAGGCAAGGCAAAGCATAGCTAAGGACAGCCATTCTGGGATGCTTGACACACTTAATGCAGCATTGCTTGCTAACAAGTGCTCTTGTTGTCCAAGTGGCTCTTGAAGAACTCCTGGACTCTGTCCCACAGGTCCAGCTGAGCCTCAGAGTGGGCTTTTGGCTCTCCACCAAACACCACGTCACTCCCCACTGCTCCATGGAACCCAGACGGACAATGAGGCATGTGAGGGACTTCCAAAAAGTGTCCGGCTTTAGGGTATGTCACCACCTTAAATGACTCTTTGCTGTGTTTTCTCAGTGTTGCAGCAGCCTGCTCGGCAAAAAGAGCACTGTTCCAGTTGTGGTCATCTTCAGAAACGGCAAACAGGAACTGGCAGCTAGCACGTTCAATTGGAAACAATGACGCCCTGTTCTCTTCCAAGGAAGGGTCTGGTAAGGCATCGCGTATATCGATAAGCCCAGAGCCTTTGATTTTAACATTCGTTATGACAGGGGAAAGTGGAGGTAGAACAATGTCTTTGTAGTGTAAGGGAATCACAGTATTTCCAATGCAGCCATTAATACAGACGGTCGCTGAGATCCCAGAGAGGAAAGACGACATCGACAAAGCCAAACCGCCACTGTGAGAGATTGATATGATGCCAATCCCAGGACCTTTAACCTGCACAGAGAGGTATTGAATTAACAGCTGATATGTCCTTAGATGTGATGTAATATACAGTTAATAAATAAATCAATAAATAACAACCATGCCTCAATTCAACTTGAAAGCAGAGCTTGAACAAACTAGGGTTGCAACTAACAATTATTTTTCATTACTTTTTTATCTTCGGATTACTTTCTTAATTGATCAATTACTTGTTTCACTTATAAACATGTCAGAAAATTGGGTAACTCTAACCCTAATGTCTTCCTTTGCTTGACAAACAGTCCGAAACCTAAATATATATATAAGTTTATTATTGCATGTGATGAATGAAAACAGCTAATTCTCATGATAAAAAGCTGGAATTTGAGAATTCATATTAATTATCTGTCCATTTACTAATAGATGAATTAAGTGATTGTTTCCACTCCGTAATGATCTTAATTATGCATAGTTTGCAAAGAAGGACCTTCAAAAAATCTGTCACAGCCATGTCAAGTAGCCAGTAGATGGCAACATTGACATAGTACTGTAAATACAAATATGGGCCTATATCTCTGATACAGGCTCACTTTATACAGAATGTATATGTATAACGTACATGAAGTCAAACAATATGCACAATAAGTACAAAGGCAAAGTAAACATAAAACATGGGGATAAAAAGGAGATTCTAATATCATAAATAAGATTATCTTTACTGTTTTAATCTTCAGTACTAACCTCCGGATGTCTCCTCAGATATGTAACAGCCTCTTCAAAGTACTCCAAATCCAACATTTTAGGTCTTTTCGGTAAATCCTGGTAGCCAAAATAGGCCAGTGCCAGAACAACATAACCTTTATTGGCCAGGAGGCTGGCTCTGGGCTCAGTTAGACGTCCACCAAATGTGTACAGATCCACTATTCCTGGGAATGGACCCTTTCCTGGAAACAACACGGAAATAAAAAAGGAGAGGGAAAGTTGAGTAGAATACTGCCATCTCTCCAATTTCTATGTATCTTTCTCAGTGCTCATCAACTCAAACATCAATGACAAATTTCCCCTGGGAGACAATAAAGTATATTCTATTCTATTCTAATACACAACTAACCTGGAGGTATGAAGAGGACTCCTCGTATTCTTCCCTCTTGCACAGGTATTCTCCTCATCCCCTCTGTCATGTATACTCTCTCGTTAGTTTCAGAGGCTAAGACCTCACCAGTCTCTCCGCTCAGTGCTTCTATCTCCACCAGTGTTGGGCTGAGCACGTTCTTCTTCAGCAGTTTTCCGTGTGGAGTCTCTGGTGCCATGGACCAAAACAAACCCATGGGCTCCACTCCGGTGTAACTTCCTCCCAGAGAGGGTGCTCGGCAGACATCCACCTGGCCAGTTTCATCTGCTTTGTACAGGGCAGAAGCCTTGAAAATCACCCCTCTGTCGTCGACTAGTTTGGACCTCAGTTCAACTGGTTTGTGAGGAGCAAGTCCTTCTACTTTTACCTGCACCAGTTTATCGAAGAGACAGCGAACACTGGGGAGAATCTTCAGGCGGATCTGTGAGTAAGCCATTTCAACTCACTGTAATGGCTGAGTGTTGTATGTTTTACTCCGGCCTTTATTTTAGTACTGCTATGTTGTCACTGCATCTGTTAAGGAAATCAAAAGTTAAATTGTCATAGCTCTCGCAAAAAAATGAGCGCATAAAAAACAATCTTCATCATTGTAAAAAAAAAATCACAGAACAGTATCAAAATAGTGAGACTGTTGATTTTCACCAATATCCAATAATCTTCTTCTAATTGGAATATTTGATGCAGCACAATGAAATTCTGTGTACATTATCTGTTGATTTATTCACACCAAAGGTTCTTAAACTCTTTTATTTTGAAATTTAAAGAACTTCAGTAGATCTCACATGCTATGTTTTACTTTTTATTTATTATTTATTATTATATTTTATTTATTTATTTATTTATTTTTTACATATTTCTCTGTAAGGAGTCTACTTGAACCTGGGCACAAAATACTCTGAGTCACCTCACTAACATGATATATTCTTCATTGAATAGACAAAGGCACTGACAGGGCCCTGCACAGACTTTTAGGGGCACATAAAATATGTATTTACAAAAAAAAACAGACAATTATAACTCAGTAACACGAGCACCATGCTATAGCTAAGCTGTTTCTGTAGCTAAATTGCAGTGAGGGTCTTCAGTTGATGGAGGAGAGTATATTCAGGGACATGGTGATGTCTAACTGGGGGAAAGTTCAAGTAAAACAGCGACGAGTAGACAGAAAATACAACATGAAAGCTAACTTCACACTGTGGTTGAATTCCTCCTGTTGGGACAGTTTCATTATAACACTACCCGGTAAGCGAGAAAGTAACCTTGCTGATTTGACTTTGATTCTAGTTTTAGTTTACCGGCTTTGTTTTGAACAAACTGACTATCAACAGGTACATTTGGGTCAGAAAGCTTTATATTATCTCACAACCGGCCAGAACAACTGAAAACCATACCTGTATTACTGAAGCACTGAGCTTTACAATGCAAAGTGACACAACCGTGAAAGCAGAAGCTGCAGCAATAAATAGGAAGCGACTGGGCGAAACCACTTTGCCAAACAAAAGGGGGGGGGCTTTTGAATTGGCTGCCTTTGGTGTTTGTTTGTTTATTTGGTGTTCCACTTTGTGTACTCATTGTATGTGAAAAGATTCATTCAAAGTATATATATTAAAACTGAAATAGAAAGAGAAATGTATGATATTTCGACAAGGAAAGCAGGAGGTAATTCCCCCTGTGGAATGAAACGGTCCATATATTTACCAGTTGACCCTGGGCTCCAGCGACAGTTTAAGTTAAGTTATCCCTTATACTGTTAGTGAATTAGCCACCTTCAACTATGAGATGAAATTAAATATAATGATAATATTTTTTAATAATTTGTCAACAAATATAACCGACTCAGGAACTTAAACATGTAGCCTATGTAGGAAAGTGAAGCAGCCACTAGATGTCAGCATTGGCACAGGATATTAACATTTGGGAACGCTTGAAAGGTTAAGACGACCTTCCTGTATAAGATTAACCTTTAATTTTCATCTTCCAACACCACATAGTATGCTCTTTTAAGTATGCCCTAGAGTTATCATCGTGAACACAGTGAGACAAGAAGAGTACTAACTAATTTACACAACATGTTTCCCCTAATATAGATTATCTGATTAGATGTTGGACCACCTTGTTGTATATGTTTTCATATTAATGAGCAAAATAGAAGCATACTGGGCTCATCTGCTTCTTGTTTATCTCCAGAGTAGACCTGTGAGTGTCCTCTCAGAGGTTCCTTACAGGGGTCAATGACATGTCGAGGTGTTTAGCAGGAGTTTGATCCTCTTAATCAGTGGTTTGCCAGTGCTAGGGCTTCAGAAGCTTTGGGATCATGACGATTTTGTGTAAAGGAGAGAAATCTTTCTTAGCAAAAAGGTTGGAAATTAAGACAGGAGTGGAATCTAAGCAGAGACCAGGGACGGAGCCAAATTTAACCGGAATTGAAGAAAGTGAAAGTAAAAGTGGATTTAATAACAAGCTATGTAGAATCAACAAACTAAACATCTGACAACAGTGTTTGTGCTAATGAAATGAAATGTTATGGTTTTAACTAACAACTGATCTGTTTTTGGACATTGAGGCCTTGTGGCATCTTTCAACCCCAGCGTACACTTTTACATTTAGAAGCACCTTCAGTCATCGCTGGGGTATGGATTTCCTTCCTGCTATAACCGTTGAAACAACCCTGAAAGGATGACATATGACCGGAGTTGACCTTTACACCATTTACTTAGTGCAATAACATCATAATAAGTTCAGAGACAGACTATTTAGACTTACACTTTCTGTAAAAGTAGAAGGAAAACTTAGATAAAGCTGTAAAATACAGATGGAATTATTGAGAATAACTTCACAAAACACTACAGACAAAAATATTACACCATAAAAAAGATTGTCTCTCCTTCTTCAATATGAATGTAGTTTCTTAAAGGCAGTGTGAGTTCCATACAGTGGAATGAAAATGTTTGTCTCAGCCCACTTATTACCGTCTATGTGAAGTGAAAATGTAAGAGGATAAAGGAAGGATTACTGTGTGATGAAATTATCCTCACATTGAAGCCAGTTTATATCGTCCTCCTCAACATTCCTCTACATTCAGTTTTTCAATTTAATTGGCTTTATTGGCAGGAAGTTTTAAATCAATCATGTTTCCAAAGCAAAACGTCACTTATAGTAGGCTATATAAATACTACTAAAACAATATAATGAAATCTTACATATTTACTATAAAAAACCTTATTTGGATGCCATAGCTGCCCTATATATTTTATGGGTCCAGAAAAGCAATACTGAAAATAAATGGGTATTCATTTTCTGTAGAAACAACTACTCTACATGTGTAGATGCTATTGAGTCAATGTTTTCTGATCTCTAGCTTTAAGACAAATAGGAGCGCTCCAGGACAAGGGATTTCAAATATTTGACGGCCTCTTTTGATGTTTCTTTGCAATGACGCATTATGTTTTGCAAGGTCACAGTGAACTGCGGTTAAGTGTGACGAGAGATCTCACTTTCTTTCCCCTCTGAGTGAATTAAAGTAGCATTTCCACCCACACATTCTCTTCTACTTTCTATCTGCAAGCACATTGTGTAAATACAGTGCAAAACTGTATATTATATAATAAAATATACCCATACTGTATATCATATTTATTTATCTATCAGCTTTTCGGTTTAACGAGTCATCTAAGTGTATATTTTATGCATACGCAGACTGTGATGATGTGTTCTCTCCAGTGGCAACAACTACAAAGAAAAACCATATCAGAAGGTCTGAAAAACATCCTGGCAGAGGCAAAAACCAAGACTTTGTGTGAACTGTCAGAGATGAAAAAGATATTGCAATCACAGTAAGAACCTTTTAGATGGCATTTGTGCTGGCAGATAAGTCTTTTAGTTTGGTTTGGTTGACTAACAACATGGATTGAATATATCAGATTTTGTCCAGAATATAATAGCCTTGAATTTGTTTCCATGTTTGTCCCTAGACTAGAGAACTAGAACATTCAAATCACACAAACAAGTCTGTTTTTCTTTTTCTTTTTTGCCAGGAAGCAGACAAAACGCATCATTAAAGATAACAGATGTTTGAAAGAGCTCAGGATGCAAATATCAATACGTCAAAAAGTAAAACACAAAAACACATTAAGATAGCTACAGTTCACTATGGGCTATTATTTTGCATTTAGCATTTGAATTTTTGTGGTTAAACAGGTTAATAGGCCTGAGCAGATTCATTTTTGCTTACCTTAGATATTAGATGATGATTGAGTATAGAGACAAAGGGACTTAGATAGCCATGTTATTGTGATATAAACTACATTCATTCACATACATTCATATAGTCACCTTACAAGAGATAATTGGATAAATATAGTAACACTAAGAAAAGTAATTAACATTATTTTGTTGCAATTTATGATTATCTGCAATGGTTTTGTTTATGTAAACGGTTGTCTGTCGAGGTCTAATGAGGTCGACACATTTTTAGATTATTGCAGTTTGGCATTTCAGCCATTCAGCAGCCAAAATATGCATCTAATCACACAACATAACTATACATGTATGGGGAATCCCCTATAATGGCAAGTACACCATATCCCATGCATTTTTAATTTTTTGGCATCTAATTAAGAAATGTACAACATTTATTGCTTACATGTATTGGGTGTATTTTTCTCTCTTTTGTCGATTCTTTTGTCTCTCTCCCCCCGCCGTCCCTCTACCAAAATCCGTGCTTTTATTTTGAAGCCGAGCCCTAGCGGTTGGCTTGACAGATTAGGATCCGCCCTTTTAACGAGGTAGTCATGGAGACCGCGCGAGAGCGAGGCAGCTGGTAGAGTTCTCACAGCGAGTGTTTCCGCACACCTACCCAGAATAAAGAGACAGGGAACGACAGGGAACGACAGGGAACAACAGAGCGGCGCTGACGGGAACTAGTCGACGAAAACATTGTATTTATTTCATGTTATTTTTTGCCACAGTCTGGTTTGGGTGTATCCGTTTTTTTACCACCGTTAATGCCTCGAATTTGAAGCAGTGAGAGGAGGACTCGCTGCTGTTAACCTTTACATTGGTGAGTGTGAGTGTGTGTGTGTGTGTGTGTGTGTGTGTGTTACATTATAGGCCACTACGAGATCTCTTTGCTCTTATCTTTCGCTTCTCGTCAGCCTGTATTTATTCATTACGTGTAATTAAAAACACGAAACAAGTTGCCCACACTAAAGGGCGACGTTAAATAATTTGTGAATGAGAAGAATGAGTTGTCAGTTTTGTGTTTTGTCAACTAACCCCTTTGAACGAAGTGTGTTGTTAATTAAGCTAACCGCGACCAGTGGCGAACTGTTCATTTCTCACAAAGGTAACACCGAGCTAACTGGCTAGTTACATATTTATGACGTATTTAGTTGGTTATAAGTCTTTATCAGCTGCTTGACAAAGTGATTAGCGAGACACGTAAAAGCAGGAAACCGGCTCGAGTAGCTAGTTCACGGTTAACAGCTGTAGCCTTACTGTGTTGTTGCGTTTCGGTCATGTGAACAATAATAAGTAACAACGTAGCAGTGTCACGTTTTTAAAAAAGAAATAAATAAATAACGTTGTCGCCTGTTATCTCATTTATTCATGCTGACACAGACTGAAAACAAAGATCTAACAAATGTAATGGGTAGCGTTATTAGCGTGTTACTTTGTGAGAATGAGGTTGCTTTGGTTTAGTCTTTGTTTTTGTCCCTGTGTGTGTGTGTGTGTCGTCCTGGCAGCCCACCACACTCTTTGTTTAAATAGCTCGCAGTACAGTTGCACGTGTCGAAGCGTGTGACTTTGCTATAAAGGCAGCTGACCGCGTTTGATTCAGTTTCAGGGGTGTGTTGTTGAGTTTTGAGGGTCTCTCCGCTCAGATATTCCTCACGCTGTCATTTTCTAACTCTCTCTCTCTCTCTCACCTCTCTCCTCCCCCGTTCCCTCGCCACCGCTTCTGTTCCAGTAAGAGTTTTTTGAGTCGTTTCCTGTTAGCTGGGTTGGGTAAGATACGACATTTACAATAGCAAAGTTCATGGAAGTCCAACGCGAGCTGTTGCTTATCACCATAATGGAGAACAAAGGGGCGTTCAAACACATTTGAGCACTGAAATCAGGGCTGACCAGTGTTTTGATCACTGTTTACCACGTGTTTGGGTTGAATAAATACATTTGTCATATGTCAGATTTTGCCACAGCATTGGCTTTTAGTTACTACCTTGATGTGTAAGCGTATAGTGCTCTGGCTATTCCACCCAGAAACAATTTCTCAATACCTGTATGAGGCTCTATATCCGTAAAGTAAATGAATTCTGCCTCTTCACTGTCGGTGAACATTGCCCTGACAGCGGGCTACTTTGTCAACCAGGAGGGTGTTCACCGACCAAATCTAAAAACTGTCCAAACACTACGTTGTTTGCACTTAGTCATTGCTCCACTGGAGATTCAGCCCACAAGATCTTTGCTCTTTGCTTTATGTGGCGACATTGTAACTTCGACATTTAGAGGTAGCGTATATTGCTTTTTAAAAATCTTTTTATTCAACCCGTAAGATGTTTTTCATTGCAGAACTGATTACAGTCCATTTTTGTTGAAGTGTTACAATACCTCATTTTATCCCCATTGTTCGGATTGACATGTTTTGTTTTTACACACTGTGGCTTTCACAGAGGAACTATATACAATGTGCAGCTTTAATGGTTCTCAATCTAAAACCCATTGTGTAGCTGCAGTGAGACTTTTATAACTCCCAGTCCAGCATTCAGAGGCTTTTTCTGTTTGACAACATAGCTTAGAGAAAACATCTTGTGAGTAAAGATAAGAAAACTGTGCTTGGCTTCAATCCCATCCTCAGACTTCCCCACCTTTCACCAACATAACATACGACAGTGCTCCTCTCATTTTACTGTTTCCACTTTTATTCTCTTCTTTCATCCACTTTCTTTCTCTCTCTCTCTTCTCCATCTTTCTGTCCCCTAACTCGCAGCAGTGCAGAGGGATGCTTGGGCGCTGTGGGGCTTAACACTACATAATACTTCATAACAAAGGGTCCTTTCTGTGCTGCCATGCAGAGCCCCGTCTCTGGGCTCCCTCGGCGGGCCCAGGCGGGCTCTACCAGCAGCAGTAGCACTGGGGCCTATTGGGTGGAAATCTCCTCCCGGCTGTTTCTTTGGCACACTGAGCGCTCTCTGTTCCCGGACACATGCCTGTGCTGCTGCTCTCCCTGGCTCCCTTTGCATTCCAGGAGCCCCGAGCAGCTGAAAAACTGCAGTAGCAGCCTGCTGCCTGGCTGCTTGTCTCACTGGTGTCTGAAGTGGAGAGTTGCATAGTTTTTTCCCCAAGTGGAAGACTAAACAGACAGTGTTTATGCAGTGAAAACCTCCACTTTCTTAAAGGTCCAGTGTGTAACATTTAGGAGGGTCTATTAGCTCTGTTGGCAGAAATGGAATATAACCGGCGTCACTGTGTTTTCGTTGGCGTGTGATCACCTGAATATAACCTATATATAATAGCGGCGGCGGCGGCTGAGGTCAAAGGCTAGAGAGGCGGGGCTAATACGTCATTGTTTCTGAAAAAATCCGCATTCGCCGTCCAGACGACTCCGGCAATCCGG